GGAAACTACAATGTTACCTACTGCATGTTAAATCCATTTAGTACTAGGAGTGAAAGTGAGGATGAAAGAGTCAGAGCTATGTGATCGTGTCCAGAATTAATTATGATTCGAAATATTTTAAACATTGTATTTTAAATAGGAGAGCAACAGTGCCAGAGACAGACGAACTCCGTAGAATAGCTGCTGGAATGATTTTATAACATTTCATAATTTCGCCTAACACTTGAACTTGCTAAGCAAGACGATCCGAGAAGCAGGGTTTTATGCCCCTCACGGGTGTTCTGCTTTCCCGCACCTCTTTACTGTCCTAGGGCGCACGCTAGAGCAGATGGCATCACACCACCGATACACAGCCGAAAGGCCCGCACGTTCTGGAACCCAGTGTAACAGCGTCTGCTTGACGAGGTTATCTGCATTTCTGAATGCACACCTCACAGAAGAGCAGACACTTCGGCGGAAACGGATCATCCGTCAGATTGCCTGAGGCACCGGGGTTAGAATATGCCTCTGCTGCATTTTGCTAGGTTATCCATTAGTTTGTTTTGTTGATTTTTGCTATGAAAGGACAAAATGGATTCCAGAATGTGCTATTTTTTTTGTATTTGTAATTAAAAATACTTGGAAAAGGCCCTTGAGAAGCATAACACGTTTTTATGATTTTGTTTCACACAACTAGATATTATCATACGTCATGTTGCTTACATAGCAGCATAGCACTTTTATGCTCGCCTGACATAAATTGCATGAATTCCTAAGGAACACATGTCTTCATTGCTTTGAGACTATTTAAATTTGGTAAGATCTTTTGTTTAGTTATAATTCATAACACATAAAATGGTATCTCTTTTTCAAATATAACTTCGATTTATTATGTTAGAATAAAATTTGGTTTAAATATTATTTGAGTCAGTTATCAAATCATTTAAAATTTTAATACTCTAATTATTTGAGAATATGCTTTAGGTACTTTTACTATGATATGTGAATTATTGCTCCAAAAAAAAATTCTCATCTTTCTCCCTAGGATATTAATCCTCAGAAATAGTAAGATATTGGTGTCTAATTATTCTTTCCTGGAGGAAGAAATGAGTATTTCAGATATATAGTACTTCAGATATATTTCATATCTATATAAGTAGATATGAAATATATATGTATTTGTATGTGTATATATAGCATATGTATAAATACACATATGTATATATATGTATTTTTATATATGCATATATATGAAGTGAGCCTTTTTCCTTTATTTTACTTAAAAATCACTAATCTTACCAATTTTAATTTAATTTTGTCAGACAATTACAAGTAGAGAGAAAACCAAATGTGAAAAAGAATATTTTAAAATTACTTTTCCAACAAAGTGACAGAACTTTTCTGGACAACGTACCCAGCAATGGGCTTGTTGTTTTGTGAGGCTAGAGGTCTAGGTCACTACAGATTATAGAAGCAAATGTGACTAATAACATCAAGCTCTTTAAAAAGTGGTTACATAGTTTTTTTACAGATATGATTTTACATAATATGGGTACAAAAGTACAATTGATACTTTTAACTCTTCTATGCTATCATGTCCTAATAAACATCAGAGGTCTCATCTTCAAAAATGAAGGACCAAGATTTTAAAAATATATGAAATATATCTGCACATTTTTCTCCACTTAGAACACTTAGGGATTGATAGTGCTTCTAGTGTGGCATTGTGAGTCATGAATGCAATTAAGTATTTTCTCTTCAGCAAAATCCTTTACTTGCAGTTAAAGCATGTTTGATAAAGTGAAAAGCACTGAACATTGATCAAACAAGCCAAAAGTGGTAGCCTTATCAAAAACAAGGGAAATACCCCATTTCTGCCCACTCTAACCATCCTCTCCCATCTATCGGAGAAGACTGAGAAACATTTGTTAAGTTTACAGTCCAGAGCACAGGCTCCCCAAAACCTCAGACCTGATCGTAGGATGATAGAATACTTCCCCTCCCACCACACCTCACCACCACATTACTAAGGCCTATTTAAAACAGTTCCTTTTACCCAGTATGTCATATCTGGATATCAAGAAAAAATTACCAGTCATAGCAAAAGGAAAAAATACAATGTGAAGAACAGAGAAAGCATCAGAACTAGACATGCCAAGGATGCTGGAATTACCCAACAAGGAACTTAGAACAACTATGATTAAGCTCTATATGCTAAGAGCTCTAATGGATAAAGTAGACAGCATGTAAGAGTAGATGGCTGTGTAAGCAGAGAGATGGGAATTCTAAAGGAAAAAAATTAAAAACCTTTATCAGAAATGAAGAATGGACATGGCTAAGGACAGAATCTTTAGGGTAATCCTGGACGATACCTCAATGAAACCTCCAAAACTGAAAAGCAGAGAACAAAAACTGAAAAAAATGCCAGAATACCCAAAGAGTTTGGGACAACTACAAAAAGTGTAGTATATGCATAATGTGAAAACCAGGAAGAGAAGAGAGAAATCAATACAAAAAAATTCCCCAAATTAATGTCAGACACAAAACTGCAGATCCAGGAAACTCAATGAACACTAAGCTGAAAAAATGCCAAAAAAAACCAAAAACAAAATACTACATGTAGGCATGTAATTTTCAAACTATAGAAAATAAAAAATAAAAAAATCCTAAAAGAAGCCAGAGCTAAAAAAAAAATACATCTTACCTATAGAGGAACAAAGAATCACATCCATTTTTCCATCAGAAACCCTCCAAGCAAGAAAAAGTTGAGTGAAATACTTAATATGTTGAGATAAAAAAAAGAACCACAAACAAGAATACTGTACCCTGCAAAATTGTCCTTCAAAAGTGAAGCAGAAGTTAAGATTTCATGAGATAAAATCAAGAGAACAGGTGCCAGTAGACCTACCTTTCAAGAAATGTTTTAAAAAGGTCTCTGAGAGAGAAAATAATATAGGTCAGACATCGGATCTATATAAACGAAGGAAGAGCATCAAAAAAGGAATAAGTGAAAGTAAACCAAAAACTTTTATTTTTCTTATTCTTAATTGATCTAACAGATAACAGTTTAAAATATATTAAATTTTGTATAATTTTATATATGTATCATATACATGTAGCATATACATATGCACATTTATATGATATATACACACATGTGCTTATATATATGAGAAAGAAATGATGGAAATAATTCAAGGGACACAGGAAAAAAATCAGATTATTTTGTTATTAGGAACTCAAACCACAAATGAGGTGGGATAGTACAGTATAGTTTGAAGGTAGACTTGGATTAGTTATAAATGTATATTTTAAATTCTAGGGCAACAACTAAAAAAAGTACAGCAGATAGCAACTAACCAGATAGAAAACTAACCAGTATGGCAGGTATTAATCCAACTGTATCAGTGATCACTTTGGGCATCACTTAAGAGACAGAGATTGTCCAAGGGTATCCAAAAACGAGACCCAACTCTACATTATCAAAAAGAAACCCACCTTAAATATAAAGACACATATAAATTAAAAGTAAATGGATGGAAAAATATATATACCATGCTAACGTTAATCAGAGCCAAATAAGAGTAGCTATATTAATTTCAGACAGGGCAGACTTCAAAGCAAGGAAAGTTATCAGGGATGAAGAAGGGCATGATGTAGTGATAAATTGGTCAATCCTCCTAGAAGACACAACAATCTGAATGTGTGTACACCTAACAACAGAATGCCAAACATTGTGAGGCAAAAACTGATAGAGGTGCAGAGAGAAATAGATGCTTCCACCACCATAATTGGATCTTCAACATCCCTTATTCAGAAATGGACGGATCCAGCACTGGAAAACTTAGTGAGGGCATAGCTGAACTCAACAGTACCGTCAGTCAACTGGGCATTACAGACATCAACCGATTTCACCATCAAAGAGCCTTGTATGTTTTTCTCAGCTCCCATGGAACATTCACCAAGATACACCATGTTCAGGGCCACAATACATACCTTAAGAAATTTAAAAGAATTGAAATTATACAGCTATCAGGTCACAGTGGAATTAAACTAGAAATCAGTAACCAAAAAATACTTGGAAAAACCCCAAAATGTGGAGATGAAACATGATACTTCTAAGTAACACATGGGTCAAAGAAGTTTTTAAATATTTGAATTCATTGAAATTGACAGCAAACCTGTCAAATCTTTTATATTAGAAGAAATAATGACGTTCAACATGTTGAGAAGTGAACTTAAAAAATTAAGTCATACGTTAATAAGTTGCAGTGTTGTGTTGGCAGAGTACTTGAGGAAATAGATGTTTGTCCATGTGTATGGACTGTGGAGAAAAATAGAAGATGCAAAGATTATAGCAGAATGCGGACCCATAAGACTTTGGGAGCTAAAATGCATAAGTTTATTAAACATTTATTAGTTGCCAAATGGCTAACAAATTGTTAACTTGGGTCCACAGATCATGGATGGGCCTTGGTGAGGAAGTGAGAAGGGTGAGGGGAGTAGGGATAGATGGGCCTGTGTGTTTTTCTGGGAAGCCTGTCCACTGCTTATATTTAATGACTTCAAAATTTTTGTCATTTTGTCTGTCAGTAGACAAGTTCTATTGAATATGACTATAGTTCTACCAGGAACTTGCATGATGGGCAGTAGTAAGAATAGAGGTGCGATATTAAACCCAATCAATATTTAATAAATTTATTGAGAATATTCTACATGCCACACCCACTGTTGTTTGTGGAAGAAACAATTTTAATAGAAACACAGAGTTCTTGATTTCAGGGAGCTATTCTACTACATAATTTTTAGACTATTTCAAAGTTCAACAAACGATGTCCAAAACTGAGAGCGTAATAGAGGACATCTTTTTGTTCTGTATTGTTTTTGACTGTGGTTAATTAGAAATGAATACAAACATCCATTGGGAAGTGGTTTGAGAGAATGATAACTGATCATTTTGTTTAAGTGTTGTGGTGTATAATGTATATTGTACACTAAGTTAAAAACATTTTTCGTTTAAGGTAACTGAACTGCACAATATCAAAAATATAACCAGACTGCCTCGGGAGACAAAGAAGCATGCGGTGGCAATTATCTTTCATGATGAAACGTCAAAGACATTTGCCTGTGAGTCAGGTAAGCGATTATAGCCCTGTCTACAGCTTAGGAAAATTGGGTTTCTTTTGAGGTAAAAGCACAGACGGATTAAGATACACCGCTGAATAGATGGCTTACTGTGATGAGGATGTGCTGTAGTCTTGAGTGGGAAGTGCGACATATTGATTTCTACCGATGTTTTTGGTGCTTGTTTATTATCTGTCTGTGTCTGGATTTTGCTCCCAGGTGGTCTGAGGACTCTTAAAGTTTCCATTCAAGCTTGGAGAATTAAGTAAACAATGCCTGGGAGATGTTGTTAGGGCAAGCTTGTGACTTGCATTCTGGTCCTTACTGAAGTGTAGCTATAGGCGTTTTGTGAGGGTGGTGGGCAGTAATAATGCTGCCATGTAAAAGTGTGGTGACCCACAGCCTAAGTCCCCAGACATTTCAACACCGAACTTGGAGCAATTGGTTGCTGTCACGGATTCTCAGTACTACAGGTTAAATACACTTCAGGTTGAATTTTAACATCCTAGTTCATAAAGCACTCTGACATCATTGAGACACAGGCAGTTTATAGCTTCAAGTTGCAGTAGCCTTCATTTTTGAATCCCTGTTCTCTATAATATATTAGTTGGCTTATTATAGCTTTTTAAAGATTTTGCTCAATGAATTGGTGCATTCATTTTATAATGGATAGAAGCGAAAAACACTAGGGTTTGAGAAATGTGAATTTAAAATAATGGCTAAGTCTTTAGGAGAAGCTTTATTGAGTATTTTTAAAAAGGAAATAAACCTTATGGATTTAGAGTTTATAGGTATAATAACAGGTTACATTCCACTAAAACTGATTATGTCACTCGCCTAAATAAAATTGCTCACACCTCCTCACCTACATTTATCTTAGTTTTGCTCAACTGAAATAGAATTTATCAGTGTGTTCCTCTCTCCTTGAATGCCTTTATCCCTTTTGCTGTAATTTTCTTTGCTTGTCATCTGACCTCATTTCATCATTTAAAGTTGACTTTTGGGCATTGCTTAGGAGTCTGCCATCTGGTAATATAAATCCCCATTTTGTAATAGAACCTATCCCGGCCTTGCGGATTCCATGTATTACTGTCCAGAAGTTTTTGTGCTTTCTTGTTCTCTGCCTTAAAACTATCTAGTTGTTCCACTTTTCTCTGAGCTCTTACATAATGCCTCATGTTAAAACTAATCGCAACTAGAAAATTGGTTTTCCAAAATGGATAAAATACAATAGTCGCTATTGTATGTAAAAGAACAATTTTCACTGTTCTTTTACATTTTTGAAATTGTGCTGAACCATACTGAGGATACATAGGAAACACTGGAATCTATTATTTCAGATAAGAATGATATTGAATTTTGTTTCTACATAATTCTGAAATTCAGACTCTTGAGTTGTAACCCACAAGCCTGAAAATAGATGCTTTAAAACTTTTTTGTGTGTAGTGGTTTCATGGTTCATGTAAGATTTTTGAGAAATGAAAGGTTCTTCATTAAAGAAAATGAACTTAATTTCCAAGAGAATTTCCTTACAATGAGACAGATTCAAACATAAACATAGAATACTTTTATTTGAGTTTCTAGCAAAGAATTTTCTACGAGCTTAAATTATGACTTATTTAAAGTCCTGTTTGGTTTTTTAAAACCACTTGTTAGGTGTAGATTCAGCAGTCCAGTTGAAGTTAATAGCCTAAGTGTTTAAGAAATGATGGTACAATTTTCAAAAGTTATCTTAACCTCATGGCACATGCCAAAGGAAAGAAAGAAAATATTTAAAACACATAAACAAGGAACTTGAGTATTTTTGCTTGCAAATTAAATTTTTTAGCTAGATGTTAAGATCAGTAGTACATATCTGTTGGTAAGATGGCAAAATTATATGGAAAAAAAAAAGACAGACTGTAAAGCAGTCACAGATGTGAAAATCAAAATACTAGTAAGGTTAAAGCTGAGATGAAAAGGTGCTCTCTCATTTGCTTCTAATGCAAATGCAGATCAAAGTGCATTCTCATAAAGAGTAGTGGGAAGGTGAATTGTTCCAATTATCTCTTCAACAAAACCGACAACTGCTAGTAAGCAAATATGCATACCCTTGACTTCTTTGGGAATCAGTTTGGGAACACAGCCCATATAAACATATGCACCAGTACCTGAGGATGTAGGTTTAAGTGAATTTTGTGCAATGACAACAAAATTGGAAATACATGACTGGCTGTGGAGAAAAGAGTTGAACAAATTATGGGATATTCTTATCATGAAATATTATACAGTCACTAGAAAGAATTCTAATGAAGCCAATGAACTTGAAGACATTTCCATGAAGCTTAGTGCTTCAAACAAAACAACCAGCAGAGAAGTATATACTGAATCAGACATTTTGCAAAAGCAATAATGACAGAAATAGTGCATTGTTTTAACAAGTATCACCCGGGTTGAGAGGAGATGATAATGAGATGGATGGAAAAGGAAGATGGGGGGAAAAGGCAAGCAGAAAGGAAAAGAAAATGAAATGAACAACAAAAAATACTCAGCACACGAAAAATACTTCCATTTATATGAAATTATGCATATGTGAACATGTCATGAGCATATCCAATTTTTTTAAAGTAAGTTAGTCATCAGGGAAATGCAAATTAAAATCATAGTAAAATATCACCATGTACGTATATCAGAATAGCTAAAAAAAAATTTTAAATGACACCACCAAATGCTTGTGAGGTTGCAGAGAAACTGGATCACTCATACATTGTTGATGGCAATGTAAAATGGTATAGCCACTCAGCTTCCTACAAAACTAAGCATATAATTATCCCTCAACTTAGCAAATGCACTCTTGGACATTTATCTCAGCAAACAACTAAGTTCACACACACACACACACACACACACACACACACACACACACATACACACCTACCTGCATACAAATATACATAATAGCTTTGTTCATAATAGCCCCAAACTGGAAAGAACCCAGATGCCTTTCAACAAACTGTGGTTCACTCACACTATGAAATGCTCTCAGCAATAAAAAGGAACCAACTACAGATAGATGCAGCGACCTGGATAACTCTAAAGTGAATTATGCCAAGGAAAAAGATTACATACTCCATGATTCCATTTATATAACATCTGTGGAATGACACATTTTAGCAATGGAGTACTGACTAGTCGCCAGAGATCAGGAATGGGGCTGGGAGTGTGAGATGGGGCATATGTGGTCATAAGAGGGCAACGTGAACTTGTACTGGAACTGAGCAGTTAACCGTGATGGTGGTGGTGCATACACAAACCTACACTTGTGGTAAATCATAGAGTACCTAACACCCACAAATAAGTACATGTAAAACTGAGGAAATCTGAATAAGATCAGTAGACTATCAATGTAAATATCTTCCTTGTGACATTATAATTTGCAAACTGGTACCATTGAGGGAACTGGTCAAGGTGTACATAGGGTCTCTCTGTAGTGTTTCTCATGACTGCATGTACATCTACAATTATTTCATAAAATTTGCAATAAAAATAACATATCTGTAGCTATAATCTGCAAGGTCATCTCTGATGTGTTTTAAATTAAAAAATAGATAGAGTGTTGTAGGAGAAAAATGCTTGGTATTTGCTGACACAGTAGAGAAAGCGACATCAGTAATGACAAACAACCAAAATGATCCTGAGTGTGTGCCCGTGCAGCGTGTGTGCTTTATGGGCACAAAGAAACACGTGCGGGAGTACATAACCTGTGCACCTTGCTCCTCTGAATATGGAGCCCTGCAAGAGCTCCTGCAGCCGTCTCAGTGCCCCCTGTGCACACCCCACAATGCGAATGAATTTGTTGAATTAATGATTTAATGACTGTGCATAATTTCTATTGAAGTTCTGTTATGACGATGTATTTATCGTTTTCCTATTTCAAAGAGATCGTAGATTTTCAAAACAAGTTTTAGAGACTAACTTGGCAGCCCCGTGGAAAAAGCTGTTTAAGTTGCCAGAGAACAGCTTGTGTGTTTGTGATGGAGGAGTGCATGGTCATTGTGTGTGTGTGTGTGTGCCTCTGTGTGTGTGCACCTGTGTGTATATATCGCCATGGCCCACCAGGTCTGCTGCAGTAACTCCACGAGGAAACATTGTTGAATACAAATGAGAATTTCCACAGTTTGCTGTTCCTTGAAAAGAAAGCCCTTGTTCCTTGTTTTGAGTATGTTCAACCTCAAGCCAATGCCTAGTAAATGATGGAGCAGATGGTTTAGATGTTGGAAGCCCAGAGTTTGAGTAATAGATTCTGTTTACCTTCATTAGGGCTCAACTATGTCTGGCTCTGGCAGTAAAGAAAATCTGAAAATTTATCTCCAAATAATTTGAGGCAAATAGCATTTAAAGTCTGAACAACCTGATTAATTTCCTAAATAATTATTTGAAGCATTGAATTTATTCTCTGATACAATAGTTTTTATTATTTCTTCCACCCAAAATATGTAATGGACTATACATGAATGGAAGAAAGTCCTCAACATTAAAAATGAAAAACATTTGTGTAAATCCCAAATCCCAATATATCCATATATTTATCAATAATATTTTTAAGTTTTGCATAAGTATTGCTTTGTACCTAAAAACACCTGGAGATTTGTTTATTATGTTCTGGTTTATTAATGTTATATTTCCCAAATTCTATATCATTATTTCTAAAAACATTATTTTCCAAAGTAACTTCTTTTCCCCATAACTTGCTTATTGGTCAGTAAGATGTATTTCTATCATACATTATTATTACTGATTGTTTCATGAAAAAAATTTTTCCAGAGAATTCTCTGTGGTTTTTGGCTTCTCAGGCTTCACATAATCTTTTCTACCATAAGTAAATCCAAAGAAGATGCAGTCAAAAATCACTCTTGAATTCAAAATGAAAGATAATAGGCATGCATTGAAGTCCTTATTTTGATGAGCACTTTTATTATATGCAATTATAAAATCTGTGTTGGCTCCAACCTGTGGCATAGAACATGTAACATTATAAATGAACTTGCACATCTGTGTCAAACCTCTAAACACTAGACAAAGAATCTGTTATTGGACTGAGATGAATAGAACCTGCTGTAACAGTCCAATTGCTATTGATTAATTTTATAGTAAGGAATATATATATATGTGTGTGTGTATTATTTCACTGGAAGTGTTTTTTTATTTTTTTAAAAAGCACTCCTATTTCCTAATTAGGAAATCCTTTAAACCATATAGATTAATTTTGGAAGGACTCAAACTATACTTAAGAATGAAGGAAAGGTCCCTCATACAAAGGTTATATACTTTAGGCACACACCCCAGATTATACAACTTTTCATGTTTGTGGTAATAAAGCTAATTTAATAGGACTAAGCCAGCAAAACAACTAGGAGATTTTAATGATTTTTCCATTGTATAGTCAAATATGACTTTAAATTCTTAAAATATAGTCTATATAACCCAAAATAAGAGCTGGTCTATATCTAGTAAAAAGGAGGAAATAAAATTTTATTGCATTTATGAAGTCAAATAAGGGTGTGACATTAGAAAAATATATTCACTGCTGTTGCGCAGGGTTACATGGTCTGTGGATAAATAAAATACTTCAGTTTCAAGTGATGTCAGTCCAGAGCTTTTATGAGCAGTCCATTTACTTTAGGGATAACAGGAGACATTTCTGTTTACTGATTGTTCAGTACAAAAGACAACTTCAGTGAAGTTGGAACAACTTATATTTCTAGCTGACTCAGTCACTGGGGAATAGAATTGCTGGTTTATAACCATCTGGTTCTTAGCTATGCTGCTAAGAGATTTGGAAGAAATCATTAAAAAACAGAATCTAGTGGCCTTATGTGATCTGAAATGTGTTGAGATTTTGGAGTTACTTCTTTAGAGAAAGTGAAATGCTGTGTAACAGTGACAATGTAATGGCACCGAATTTTTAATGTTCTTTGCAGACTCACAATGAATAAAGATACCAAACCTTAAATTATACCCTCTCATAAAAAGACTAAATAAAATTGGTAACTTGGGCATGGTTTTGTAAGGTTAGTATGATCAACAAGTCAGAGACAGAACTGATTCCAGCAAAATTTTATGACTTCCTACCTTGCAGAGTCCCAGCACTGCTGTGTGGTGGAGGTAAGTGACATGGTCTGGAGAGTCCGTGGAGCGCAGTCCCTCCTTAGGCACCAAAATCATGGCTGAAGTGAGTTGACTCTACTTAGGATACATGTAGCTAATGCACCATACCTGAAAGAGGTTCTCTGATTTGGGACATTGGAAACAAAGAGTAATTAGTTTACTGTCAGAAGAAAATGCATAAGCTGATTAACAATTAATGTGAGTCTATGTCATGAGGTGTAACATGTATAATGTTGATGTATCCTGACGTAGCCACTCACTAAGGACTGATAAACTCTAGAAACTGATGTCTGCAAGATAAAATCTAGTATAGATCTGCAGAGCATTCTCTCTCTGCCCCAGTTCCAGCAGGGAGATCTTGCCTTTGAACTTTGTGAGCGGTAAGAAGAGCTGCCGCCTATTGGCTGGCCATCTGCTGCGTCAGCACAATGTGTCATGTTGTTACTCTGTCCTCACACCCAATGCACTGCCCTTCCTGCTGGGCAGCCTCTGCCCATCATTTCACACAATGAAGCACGAGCTAACTCTTGTGCCCTTTGCCTGAGCCAAGCAAGCAAACTCCCTGAAAGTCAGTCAAGCTCCAGAAAGCACTTTACAACTAAATACTCTCTGTGCAAAATATCTTTCAAGTTTTATGAACAATTAACATAGAGTGTCAGCTGGAAAATGGTCAGAAAGGAGGTACCATTCCACATTCCTGTACATTCAGAAAATGTACTTCTGCTTTAGTTTTAGGATTTTCATAAAAAAATATTACCTTTGATGTGTCGTTCTAAAATTGTACCATATGCTACTCTGTTGTACAGAACTTCTCTCTACTAAGAAATCAAACCATCTACAATTGGGTGCCAGACTTTTTGAAATTTTTGAAGCAGAAAAATGTTTGAATATTTTATGCAGAAAAAAAATCCCGTTGAATTTGAAATGTTGAATGAGGACTTAAAAATTGAATATGTCTCTTAAGGTGTCAACTAATCACAGTACACTAAAAATACATAAGACTTTTTTATTTAAACTTTCTGGAGAATGTTTTAACAATTAAAATTCAATAGTTGCAATAGGCCTCAAGACTGAATTATTTGTTTTATGGATTTTTTTGACCAACTTACTATTCATATATTTGTAAAATATATACTATAAAAGGATTAGGATGAAGTCTTAGTACACAAAGCAGTGGTGGCACAAAATGGGGTGATATGATAAAAAGAGCTTATAATGGGTTGAATTATGTACCCCCCAAAAGATATATTCAAGTCCCAATACTTGTGACTTTGTTTGGGGACAGGGTATTGACAGATGCAATCAAGTCAGGATGAGGTCATAGTTGATGAGAGTCAGATACAGAGTCGCAGATGAAACAGAGAGAAGAAAGCTGTGTGAAAATGAAGGCAGAGCTTGGAAAGATGAAGCCGTAACCAAGTAATACCGAGGATTTCCGACAACCTCCGGAAGCCAGGAGAGAGGCACGGAACAGATTCCCCAGACATCTGCAGATGTCTGGATTTTGGTCTTCCACCCTGTTAGAACCGTGGAAGAACAGATTTCTGTTGTTTTAAACCACCCAGCTTCCTCTGATAATTTATTATAATAGTCCTAGTACTAATACAGAACTCTTCTAAATCATGTTTTTTTTTTTAAATTCATTTCTGAAGGACTTTGAATGGGTTGCAACAGGTAGACAGAGAGAAAAAGGTATTCCGTGTACAAACGCAAACAAGAAATTGTGACTCAATTCCTCCATGTTTCTGAAGTCATTTTGGGAGCAGAGGATGAAGAGTGGATGTGGCTGAGAGGGGTTTGAGTCTAGACTTTATTCAAATGTAAATGGAGCAAATTAAAGTTTTCTTTTTAAACTACAAATTACTTTTTCTGATTAGCAAGGTGATGTAGGCTTTCTGTCTCCAAAAAACACAAACAAGAGCTAAGTAAAATATAATAAACATTTAAATGCATAGTTCATCTTACAAAAAAGAAAAGAGATGCCACAAAAAAACTAAAATAAAGAGACTTTTTAAGAGGAGTAAATTGGAAATGGGAGCTGTGGTTCATATCTGTAATGAACACGGAACCCGCGTGCATCTGCACAGCTGAGACTGCAGCAAGAGACAGTGCCTCGACTTTTGCAAGTTGGATAAACAGGATTGAAAGATTTCAGTAAGAAGTGATTAAAGAAAAGAAAAAAATCAAATGCAAGCAAAGAAAAATTGCCTGGGGACTTCCTCTTCTAGGATAGTCTTACGTGAAAATTTCGGTCCCACACCTGCCTTTAATGTCAATTTTCTATGCCACTGATACCACCTTCATAACCCTGGAGACTGAAAGCCCGGGAGTTTATCTGAAGTGGCCCAGCATTGGTAATTCTCCTGCAGCCAAACATGCTTTTCAGGATTTTCACATGCAACCTCTGAACCAGGGATTTGCCAGCAAAGATCACAAAAAACATAAGTGAACAAGTACCATGGAGTAAAAGTTAGAAAATAAACACATTTATTTATGAACATGATCATTGCAGTGCTTTTAATAAAAAAGAAAAATTCATGACTAATTGTTCATCAATTTATCATTGATTTAAGAAACAAAATAATTTGCAGCAATTTAAACTGATGATGTAAACTTGTATTTATTGACTTGAAAAAGTGGAGATCATATGTTAAGTGAAATGTGCAGTTTATAAAACGTACCATAAAATGATCCCAATATTTTGAACATACGTGTAAACACACACACATGTGTACACACACATACATGCACATACACACAAATGTACCTGTGTGTCATAAAGCGTAAAGTACTCACATCAGTGAGCTTGCCTGATTTATACTCTAAAAGTTGTTTAATTAATAGGCATTGATTTTTTTAAATATCATATATAGATAATATAAAAACACCTGTGAACCTATCAACCACCTTAAGAAATAAATAAATCAAAAGCAGTATAAATACATGATGTATGCTTTGCTATAATTATATAATCCCTAAAATTTTATAATGATTTCCATGTTTTCTATTTACTAAACACTTGTAACTTAATACTTTTATTATATTTATATTTGTAGAAATCATGGTTTATTGTTTTTTACATAATTTTGAAATCTATCTAAATATAGCATATTCTATTATTTGGCAAGTGGCCATTTTTCCTCATTGTCACATTTGTGGACTTACTCTACTTTGATAAATATGGCCCTTGTTCATTTATTTTATGTCATTACAGGGTTATACCATGTTGGATTTCTGGTAGCTAAGTTATATTCCTAAGATAAGTCCACTTACTGCAAGTTGGCATCTATCAGTGTAACTACATGATTCTTTTTCTTTTAAGAATTAACAGGATGAATTATATTAATATATTTCCTGCAAAGTCATGGTCAGGAGCACAGTCTAGAGCCAGACTGTCTGAGATGAGATCCAAAGACAATTTTACCTCATGGATTTATAATAAAGATTAATATCCAAAGATCAATGCCTAGCGCATGGCAAGCTTTTGACAAATGATAGTTAATATGAATCTGTATATTTGAAGAGTCAATTCCAATTGGACATATTGAAGCATTATTCATAATACACTTTTACATTCCATTTTCTGTAACCCACAGGATTTTCACAACTATATTCACAGATGAGACAGGTCTGCGAATTCCTTGTACTTTCTTAGACAGGGCTTGGCATCAGGATATTGTCAATGTTCATAAAGTGAATGCCAAGTGTTCCTACTTTTAAGCACTGGAGCAGTTTGAGAAACAGATAAAATATTATTTTAATGTTGCTTTTGAAAACATCTTAGCCTAGTATGTTTTTAAGAGATACTTGTTTACAAACTTCACGGCCACCCAGGCTTTTTACATCTATCTGAATGCATCGTGGGAATCTGACTCTCCTGGGGCCCTGTCCATATTATCCTGATTTTCGAATTCCTTTGTATGGGACCACCCAAGACCACAGCCTGTGGTGTGGACCGGGGTTCAAATGCTGGCTCCCCACTTTCCAGTGATATGTTTGGGATAAAGTGACTTTCCTTCCAGGTGCCTTGGCCTTGACATCTTCAAAAGGATGATTATAGAAAGTACGCAAGTTGTCTGTCACCTAGCAGGGGGACTGGAGCTTATAAGGACCCTGCAGTGTTAGCTATTGTCACCATGTACCTTAATTTTCTATTCCCTTTCGTTTGTATACATGTTCTCTTCTCATTACTAATATTGTGTACTTGTGGGTCTCTTTCTTTTTCAACTATTCGGAGTCTTTAGGAATGGATATATTTTCCTGTTTTATTTTAGTAAATAAATATAAGGAAGCAAGGGAGAGAGTCAGGGAAGCTGGTTTTGCATGACTGGAAGGGACTTTAATGGTTGACAGTAGAGCTCAGGCTGGATAACTGACACGACTGAGGACATCAAGGCAGTGATTGAGTTTGAAAATAGGGTAGGATCGGCAGTGGAATGGCGATCTTGATGGAGGTCAAAGAGTGTTGGAATTGAGATACTGGATGGAATAAACTGGAAAGGTAGGAGATGCTAGTATGAGGTAGGAATGTGTGAAAATAGTTAATGAAAAAATGAGAACCTCAGCTATTTTCAAGTTTTTCTTACAGGAAATAGTTAATTCTTCAATAATAAAAGATGATACCTTGTACATACTGGTTTCACATAAAATATAAGTTGTTTCTTATCATGTGTTTGGAAACAAAGAATATGACCTTGAAATGTTTTTTAAATAACATAATTAAAAATTCACCTTATTGTATTTCTTGTGTTGGTTTCTTTGGAGGGTTTAATTTTGACAAAGAAATACATTAACCTAATTTTATGACTTACAAATACTCTACAGTAACAGGTTCTGTGTTAATTTGTTTTTTGAAGTTTTTAGTTTCAACAGATTTAGATGCCAAAAACATGTAGCACACAGTGTGCTTGTTAATGTGTTAAGAAAGATAACACAGGAAATCCCATTTAATTTTTAAACAAATCCTCTTTGTTTGTTGTGTTTTCTAGGCATGCACCTTCTTATTAGCTTATAAACCCATTGCCTTATTTTTATGACTTTCTCTAGTTCTACAAGGAGAAAAAATAGAGACTAGAGAATTAGATTTAAGTCCACAGTGTGATGACCTTTGTCTCCTGTGAATTCAGGCTTTGTATTATGGAAGCACATCATATTGACATCTGCAGCATTTGTTTTGATAACTCTAATTTCTTGGGTAGAATTTATCACAAAGCTGCCTCTTAATGTCTACAGCCAAAAGCATTTTTCTTTAGTGTGTCACTGGAAATGCTATGAAATAAGCAATAGGATTTTGTGTTAAGTACTCTGTTGCCATTTGCTTCAGGCTATATTTTCCTGTCTTTAAATGTCCCACTTCTAACAACATAGCTGTGGTTCGCTAAATCGCACTGAATTTGTTTATAAATAGTGAGGCAGATGTCAGCAGCAAATCAGATTTAATGCAGGTCACCGCGGCCTCCTTACATACAGGGCTTGCAGGCGTTAAAAGGAAATTGCAGAATGACACAAAGAAAATTGAGATTCAGAGACTTGGACAACTGGTAGCTGCAAAATCTGCTATTATTATTTAAGGGATCCAAATGTAAAACTAAAAACAATTATTAACCTTGAGACAAGTTCTCACTTAGGAACTTAAGGAAGATAAGAATTTATAGGAGTGTACCTGAATGAGAAGAGAGAAAAGTTATCAAGTCCACTACTACCACTGCTGAATGATATGAAATAGAATAAGCCCATTTGAGATGGAATGGCCATTTCCCCAATGCAACAACTCTTTGTTTATAGACTATAATTATTGTAGACACTCCACACATTCTTATGTTCAGGGAACTTTTCCAGGATATGGAAAAGGTGATACAATCTACTTGGAGCACAACTGGGAAGTAGAATTCAACTGAGGTCTAAATAACTTATTGGACATCTGTGTTATCTGGATGATAATTGACCCATAATGTGCATAGGCACGTTTCCAGGAAAAGTTCTTTGTCTTCTAAGAAAGTGTAGCGCAATGGAAACAGATGAATCCAATTTAGCCAATTGTTAGCTCTGCGACTCTAGGCAAAATGCTAAATCCTCTAAAGGATGGTTACTAATATTTATCAAATACTTTTGTGAGTCTGGTCCTGTGCTCTACACTATGAATTCATTTAAATCTCGTAATAATTCTTACAAAATTGGGCCATTATTCCCATTTTAGAGGTGATGGAATGAAGACACAGAGAGACTGTGATGCTCAAATCAGTAAGCGCCAGAGCCAGGATGTGAATCCAGACCCTCCACTTCTAGCCACCATACAACATAGTCTTAGTGTTTTCACTTGCAAAAGGGAATGATTTATAGTGCTGTTGACAATTAGATGTGATAGACAGAAAGCCTCTGGCACTGAGTGAACCCTTAGTGAATGGCTACTACAATTATTTCGGCCTCAGGTACCTACCTCTTTTATCACATCTTGATGTAGAATGAGGAACAATGCCATCTCATTTTTTGGGCAGTTCTCATGTTAAGTAAATCTGAAAAGAGTTTCAGAAGTGAATGTTTTATTTATTGGCCTCTGAAATTCTCTCCCCTTTTTCTGAGTCTGTGTTTAGGTAAAGAGGTTAAAGGAAATTCAACATCATTATCAATCATCCTCTCAAACTACCCAGAGGTTTGGTGAGTCATCAGAAGTTTTCCTTCTACCTCTGATTAATTGAGAAAGACAAATGTCTAATTTTTAAATGTTCAAAATATACACTTTTTAAATATAAATTTTAAAGTACAGCACACTTTTGTAGCCACTTCTGTAACAACTACTAGCAACAAAGAAATAAAACCTGTCAAGTTGTAGTCCTTTGTAGTTGAAAAGCAGGTAGAAATCTAGAACTTCTCTGAACTTTTCTGCAATCAGAGAAAATGTCCTATTAATCATAATCCTTTGCAAAAAGTTGTTGGGTGTCACTTTTCACGAATACAAGTTCTCTCCTTTTAATCCTGCTCCACATACAATTAACCAAAAAGCTTAGCCAGAGATGAATTTCATGAGAGAATTACAGTCTGATTCTTTGTAGGGGCCATATTTTCCATTTAATTAACTGGTTCCTAAGGATGTTTTCCCCTTAACAATGCCATTTTTATTTGTCACGCAATTTATAATGAAAACCCTACCTTTTGAATCACTTGATATATATTCTAGAAGCAAGTTCTAACTTGCACGTATCAAATAGTGTTTCTGGGCACTGTTTTACTTCACGCTGCAGGGATTATACCTAATCTTATTAAATATGGCCTAAATTCTCCATCTGCATTTATGAGCAGTTTTGAAGATCAATGCTATTTTAAGCTCCTATACATCCCACTCATCTATAAAATTTAATTTTTAAGTGTTGCTATCAAAGTCATTATTAAAATATACCGAAGGCTGAAATACATTCTAGAAAAATTGGACTAGACCATTCTAGAAAACATCAGAAAACTTCTTTTCTCCTATTTTTTCTAGCACCTTCCATGTCCTTATCATATAGGTAAATGAGGTAAATGTCCAGGTTGCCTTTTAAAAATCCCATAAAGCACTGTAGTAGGTGACCTAAGAATGGCATGACTGGTGTCAAGACCAAATTGGAATTCACTTAAAGGTCACAAGTGGGAGTTGTTTTATTATATTTTCATGAGTCCAAATCCTAAGAGATACATGTTTTATGGCTGGAGAGTTAGTTTGTTTTATAATTTATCAGAGAAACACAATCTATGGCTTCATCAACTTCTCAGGTAGTGCATCTTGGAAGAGTGTGTCATGTTTAGTTGCTTTGGTTGATATATCTGCTCTTGAGAATAAATTCCACAGTCATGCACATACATCATAATGAGGGCCTCTTCACACCCAGCCCACCCTGCAGTTGACTCATTCTGTATGTTACTGATAATAAATATTTCTATTTGGTCCATAGGGTAAGGTCAATTGCGCATGCCACCTGTGTAGTTCAAACCCTGAACATAAGAAAAAGTGCTCAAGGCTTCTCAAATATATTTTTTTAAAGCAAGCATCTTAATTGCTTCAAAAGAGATGCAGATCATTAACTATGTCCTATGTCAGCAGCATCACTGGCATTTATCGTATCAGGTCTTCCACTCAGTCACATACAATATTGGGTCACTATCAGAAAATGTGCATAGGTTCAGGCTCAGTTACTGTGAAACCTGTTTAATTTTTTTTCTTTTCTTTTCTTTTTATTAAGGTAGCATTGATATACACTCTTTCATGCCACCATCTTTAATCTCCCTGAAACCTGTTTAATATTTGTTTCAAAAACATCATAAATACCATTTCCGAGAAAATAGTCACTAAAGAAGCAATGGAACAGTACAGAAGCCCACTGTGGCCTTCAGAGACACAGCCAGTAGCATTATTTCTAAAATTTGGTCATTGTACAAGAGCTCAGATGGAAGTCTGCTAAGGTTTGGAATCCAAGATATTAAAAATGATTGTGGCTTATTTTTATATCATACAAAATCACCATATATTAAACTGGTTATTGACTTATTTCACATCTCACATACTGTACCTAATTAAAAGACTGGCAGTGTGACAGGCCCTTTACCTACATCTTTCTTGCTTCCTGAATGTGTCATTCTTTTTGAAAGACTTGTAATATAAATTTATTGTAATACTAATTTATTTAGAAGTAGACTAAAAAACAACATTAGGGCTTGGCATTGACCTGGTTAACAGTTTTATGTCGTGAACTGCAGTGGACTCAGTGTCCTGTGTGAGTTTCCATGGGGGATGGCCCTGTGGTGATGGAACTGTGTCCTTCACCTAAGGGACTGGAATTGAGGGTTGCCATGGAACTAGACATGTCATGTCAACATGGCAGTAAGAAGAGAGAGTGGTACATAGCAGGAAGTTGCTGACACCTGCCCCCTGTAGAATTAGACGTTGGTGTCCCTCATTTCCATCGAAGGCCTGGTCCCAAGGAGCTGTGCCCATCCTCAGGACTGGGCCTCCCATTCACGCCTTCCTTCGGAGCTGGAGCATCGGTAGGCCTCACCTCTTCAGCACACTTCCAGGAGAAGCTGACGCTGCATTTGATAGTAACTTTCAACAATTTCTCAATTCCTGATGCAAGCCCATTGGGTAATGCAAGTGCATATCCCCCTGGCATAGATCTACATACGAGCAGCAAGCAACCAAAATGACTCCAAAGACCTACCCAAACCTTGATCATTGCAAAGAAGATGTTTCCAAGACTGACTGGAAAACGGATCCTGAGCTTCTTGACTCCGTTGCTCCTGTTATTGTGCCGCACTTCTTCGGAATGACAGAAAAAATTTAAAAAAGGGAATTAACCTCCCCCCACCCATCAAATTTTCATTCCTTTGGATTTTTTGAAACATCTAGTAGCATTTATGGGAAAATGTATTTTGCTTTAAAACTTTCTGCATGAGTGAGGAAAGCTATATATTTCTTCACATTCGGTCATTTATTATTCATGGAATCAGAACACAAATAGACTGTCAGAATATAGCCAAAGGGCTGAATTTAGACTAAGAAGCTTGCTGTTACCATGTAAAGTGCTATAAAAAAATTGAAATCATAATAATGGGGGGTGGATATAGACTTCTTCCCAAGGAAATGTCCCCAAGTTTCACAAAGCATTAATCATTATATTCATTTCTATTTCCAAAGCTCCAGGCATTATTTTGGGTTTCTTTGTTCTCTCTTGAATGGTCATATTATGCTCTGACTGCACGTATTGCATTGTACATTACAGATCTTTGTTGAATTCCCATGAAATGCTTCTGTAAAATGCTTTGGGTATTGCCAGACACTTTTTTGTGTTTTTCTGAAAAATATAAATTTATAGGCCTTTTCTTAGGATAGTTTCTTAAGGCTATGAAAAGTAGACATCCCCAAGTAACTTCAACATTTAGAAATGTAAGTAACTATAGGGTATCTTGGCAGCCTGGAGGAGTTTAACTCAAAGTGTTAACATTTAATGTTCAGGGTGGTATATCTGTTGTTGAATTAGGATGCATTTCTTTGCCAGGAAATTATTCCTATATTAATAAGGTGTCTCCAGCTATGTTTACTTTGAAAAAACAGTTCCCATCTTTGCATTTAAGCACATTTTTCAGTATCCCTCCTGGATCAAACACCAAGGAAACAGACAGAAGACCAAGACTATCTGAGAAACAATGTTTGCTAATTGTCTTTTTGGATGACAAAGTTTGATCATGAGTGATTTGGAGAAGGTACAGTGTTAATATATAAACACAGTGTCTTCTGAGGCTGCTAGAGAATTTCCAGGCAAGAAAATGCTGACAATAAATTGTGAGCAGAATTTGAGACATTGACGGATAATGTATGACTGGCCTTTAACGGGTAACATGGTAATTGACTACATACCCCTTGAAGCACCAGCTCTCATCACCCTCCATCCCTGCTCAGCCTCATCCAGCCACTTGGCTCAGATGCTGCAGATGGTCTTACACACAGACCAGCTGGCCCACCCATTGCCCAACACCCCCTGGGCTCTGTCATCATCACTGAGTGAAGAAAGGTCTCACCCAACCAATCCACTAGTCCTGTGGGCACCTGTCAGCGTAGCAAGAATACATCGCAGGTGATCCAGATGCACTTCTCCACAACATTAGATGTTTGGTACCATGACTACACCCACAAGAGAAAATGGTAACTGACCCTTACAACCATCTGACTTGAAGACTACTGCTAACAAATGTACTGCTGTGCATCCATGTAGACAGTTTGTCCAAAAACGGAAGCATTATCCTCTAGACTTCACATGCCTCTTCTTTGAAAACACTCTTGTCTATATAAACCCACTTATTTTGACTTCTAATCCTTTTTACCACTACCCCCTAATATTGACTCAGTTTGGAAATCCTTCTCTTGGTTGCACGATGAAACTTTGACTCATTCGGTGCCTTCAGCATTCAAGTAATATATTTTCTTGACTCCATGATTATTGAATAAATGCCAGTGTCCCCAACCCTAAATAGTTATCCTGGAAGTTAAAGAAATCTTTACCATTAACTCAGTAATTTAATAAGTACATCTGCATTTCCCTTGAGGATTTTGCAATAAAGTATAAAAACTTGTATACATTTTATCCCTTAAAAAAAAGTAGATTTGGTTCATTTGTCTTAGGAGAGTATGTTGTCCCAGCTAATAGCTGATAGAACTTCTGATGATAGTCAGCTGAGTGTAATGTATGATGCAATCAACAGGTAGATGTCCTGGTGTGTAGGGTTGGGGAATACTTTTGTGTATTTTCTAGTTCTTCTGAACTTTCCACTTGAGACCTTTAAAGTGGATTTTTTAAAATTTATGAAAGTCCTGTGTTCAGTTTTTTTCCCTCTAAAGTATTACTAAAATAATCTTCTTACTTCCAGGATTAGGTGTTCAGTTGCCTTGTTGAAAGATCCTTGTTTCAGAATACCGTGTATCAGATGGAACCGAGGGCCACATCCTCTCATAGGTATAAATTTTAAATATGAGAGTAACTTGATGGTC